TTAAAAAACCACTCCATTATTTTTCGTAAGTCAATTGTTATGGGCTCCTTTTTCTATGTTACCACCCTTTAAATATTAACCAAGAAACACGTCTACAAGGGAAAATTGGGATTTTTAGGAACTTATTTTAACCGTTGGGCGTACAGGGGGGGGGGGGGGGTGGATCTCCTAAGGTTTTTCTGAGTTTTCTTCTAGTGGATAAAACATCAGCACCTGATATTTTCAGCAGCTATTCGTTCATCCCTCGCGCGCATTTTGAGTCAAATTCAGTGATGACCAGTTTCTATGGTTACGAGGTATGACATCATAAGTAGGAGGCGCTCAAGCCGTTTTTGAGTAAAAGTTCAGTTTTTTCAATTTTTTTCAACAATAAAAGTAAATCTTGTTGCTAAAATCATGCAAAGTGCTTATTTACGTGTTATTTTTCATCTCAAGCGCAAAAAGATCGCCATTTCTTGCGGTTTTAACCTGATTTATAATTCTTGGAAAAATCAAAAATGGCGCCCAAGATGGCGACCATTGTTGAAGACGTCACAGGCCCCCCAGCAGTGCCACCACCCGTAAAATATACCTCATCTTATAGAGAAGATCAAAGGCTTTCCTCTGCAGGTAAAATCGTTTCGAAATACTGCAACATGTCAAAAACTCTAGGGGGGTCCATCCACCCCTCCTGTATAACGATGGGGGTATGAATTTGCATGTACGTCCGAGGGTTAACATGAATAAAAAGTTTTTTTCTCTGTTTTATCGCATAAACAATTATCTTTCGGAAAACACCACGGTGCAACAGCACTTTTGACTGAGTAAGAAATCCAGGAGATGGGTGGGGGGTATGACAAGCATCCCCTAGAATGGAAATTCCAGGGGGCTGGGGGTCTAAAGCAAAATTGCCCTCTGTTGGGGGGAGGGGGGGAGGGGGGTAATATTTTCTGGGACTACACAATTGAAGGGAATCTAGAATTTTTCTTTGGGTAAACTATGAAAACGTTATAACGGCAATCAGATCAGACACCTATAGCCATGACTGAGGGTTTTTAAAATTAAAATTTTTTTAGTTTCTTTTATTAAGTAAATCCTGTCCTCTGATTGGGTGATTGATTGACTGACAAATAGACTCATCCGATGGAAAACTGTCATGTGAATGTTATTCTATAAAATACGCAAGTGAGTGGTTTCTTCCTTTATCCTATTGAATTCCATGCTAATTAATGCCGCCAAAGCTAATAAAAAAAATAACATAGCCAAATTACAAACGGTTTAGCTAATTAAACATAAAGGGTCGATTATTTAAACTAAGTCTATCTATCTACTTCTTAAGTGGAATACTTTATAAAAATAATTAACAATTTATTGGACGAGGTTGACCAAAATATCGTGATTTGTCTGTGGCGAGCAGATAAATTATATATATATTTGTTTTATCATTCGATCACCGAGTTTGTTTTTTTAATGAATATCCTCCGAAAGCGAAGCGATCTGCCATTTTCACGCAAGAGCGATCGCAAAAAGGAGAAAAGCACGGTTTCCTTTACCCAAGTGCATAATATTATTTGCAGCCAGACACAGTTGGACGGCATTGCGCATGAGCAGACCATTATTTGTAGGCAGTTATTTGCAGATCACGTGGTGGGCTCTCGGCCAACGAATAGAAAGAAAAATTTGCTTCGAATGAGAGATGCTTTTCTTTCTTAGTCCGTATGCTTTCAGGAAATTGCATGGTATTTCGATAAAAGCCTTGGGCATACTGAAATTGTCTTACAACGCGCTTGACTGGCTAGACTCCGTTTAAATAAACGGCCCAAACAGTTTAGCCACTTAATGAACGATCTAGCGGCCTATGTCGAGTTGGAACATGAAATTGTAAGATGGTCTAGTGAGAATGTGAATAGCTTAGCGTTCATTTACAATACAGCACAAAACAAAACGAAATGATGCTGACAAACAGAGAATTGGTTAGTTGTCGAAGAATTACGTCAATCGTCCAATTAGTAGCAGTTATCGAGCAAAAGAGCCTAGTTGCATAGTGTACGCAAAAATGGTTGCATTATTTCAAATGATCAGGAGAGACGAAACAGCCAAATTTAAAGATCTGCCGGGCAAGAGTAGACAAAGAAGGACTGTCTCGCATGCCCACTGCTTTACGGTCTGCGTAAAAACTCGTTCACATCATGAAACTCAGCCAAGAATTAGGGAAAAACGTGACGTCAAGTTACCATGATAGCAAAATTTCCGGATCTCAACAATCTTTCTTGAGAAAGCCGGTCATTTGCATTGTCGAACGATAGAAGAAAAGTATGGGCTACCGTTTTGTTCCTGAGTGCAATCATGCACCGGAAATTCATACGTGTCAATTTTTCGTTTTTTTCTGCTATATTAGCAGGACCGGGACCGTTTGTTGAGATTCAGAAATGTTGCTACCATGCCAGCGTGACGTAACCACTTCTCCTCTCTATTGGCAATGTTTTGAAGACATTCTTGGTGCCGGAGTGTCCAGTGTCGACTGCACTTACGGACTAGCCACTAAGCAATACTGAACGCAACATTTCAATGGCAAGTTCCTGGTTCTCATTAGATTCCCAGTCATAAGCAGGTGACATATTTGAGATGTCTACACATAGCAATTTCTGTGCAGGCCTTTCGGCTTTTAATTGTCCCTTGTTTTAAAAGAAATAATGGTACCTGGAAAGTCTTTTACCTTGCCTACATCCAACTGTCTTTACAGGTACATTACAACCACCAAGTAACTTTTCTTAAGTTTATCATTACCTTCACAATCACCATTGTTGCCTCGGTCGCTTCGGGCATCAGTCCTCTCAGCCAGCCCATTTACATCATTTCCTCTACGTTTTAACTCCTCAAACTGATTCTGTTTGAGAGTGATGCCCTTTTCTACATATACCGCACTCATGTTGAATACTACTTAAAACGTATTGTCGAATAAAGATGGTAGAATTTGGCGGCGTTCAGAGTTGGTGTTTGGGCACTGTGCCTGAGGACGGTACTCTCGGGGCAGTAACGTGATTACAGTCTTTGTTCATATACCCACACTAAGATATTCGGGCAGGGTGCCAGTGCCCACGGCGTACGAGGTCGTGACCTAATTCTCGGGAACTAATGGTCACCGGGTCCACATCTTTTCTTTCGCTCCGAGATAAAGTACTGTTTTGTATCCTCTGCTACACTCCTTTTCCAATGATGTCTGAGATGGCGAAACTGAGCAAATATGTACACAATGATGTAGGGTACACGAGGAGCGAACAATGCCATTTTGGGCGGGAGATCAGTACAGTCTAGTTCTCGGTACCAAGTTTGAACAGCCCCTTATTCATTGAACTAGTAATTAACCGCATATAAAATTTATTGCTGAAATAGCTGAGACAGAAAATTTTTTTTCTAGAAACGAATATCCTAGGAGAGGAGGAAAATAGAAGGAAGAATTAATCCTAAATGTGCGTACTCACTTTAAACCAAACAAACAAGCACTTTACCATACGCGCATTTCTCTTCATACTACCCTCCAGGATAGAAGAAAGAATTTACATAGGGCAATGTTTCACAGTTACTAAGGACAAACTTCTCTGAGAAAACATTTGAAAAGTATATAAACAATCCAATCGAAATTCAAAGTGAAATTTTATCCCAATGCGAGTCGTGTATCATATACAATCTATCATTGATGATTTTTGCCCGTCTCTCTTTCCAGATTGCGTCTTCCCCTTCTCCCTGCCAGTGCCCACGGTGTACGAGGTCGTGACCTAGTTCTCGGGAACTAATGGGCACCAGGTCCACATCTTTTCTTTCGCTCCGAGACAAAGTACTGTTTTGTATCCTCTGCTACACTCCTTTTCCAATGATGTCTGAGATGGCGAAACTGAGCAAATATGTACACAATGATGTAGGGTACCCAAGGTCTGAACAATGCCATTTTGGGCCGGTGGCTCAGCACAGTCTAGTTCTCGGGTACCAAGTTTGAATAGCCCCTTATTCACTTAATAATTAACCGCATATAAAACTTATTGCTGAAATAGCTGAGACAGAAAAAAGTTTTTCTAGAAACGAATATCCTAGTAGAGGGGGAAAATAGAAAAAAGAATTAATCCTAAATGTGCGTACTCACTTCAAACCAAACCAACATGCATTTCTCTTCAAACTACCCTCCAGGATAGAAAGAAAGAATTTACATAGGGCAATGTTCCATAGTTACTAAGAAAAAAACTCCTCTGAGAAAACATTTAAAAAGTATATATAAACAATCCAATCGAAATTCAAAGTGAAGTTTTATCCCAATGCGAGTCGTGTATCATATACAATCTATCATTGATGATTTTTGCCCGTCTCTCTTTCCAGATTGCGTCTTCCCTCTCCCCTATTTTGAAGGTTTTTACTTCATCCTCCCTGTTATTATTAGGTCTGTTCTCCTTCTCCTTTAACATAAGATGTTAAGTCACGACCAGCCGATTTAAGCTAAATAAATATTACAATTATAACAAAACGGATTCCTCAATAATGTTCAAATTATTGCTTTATAGCTTTGGAAAAAAAAAGTTGAGCGCGTAAATAGGTTAGGGTTAGTCTGTTAAACTATTGGAAGACACGGCCGTTTATACTGGGACGCAGTCATTTAGGCATGAACTATGAAATAACCGCGCAGACTTGTCAACCCCGCTTTCAGACGATAACGGTAACGCCGAAAGACTCTAAAGTGACTCTAAAATGCTCGATTAAGACTGGTAAAATGTGCAAGATTTGACCTGGCAGGGCCTTGAAAGAAACCTCCGAGCCAGTGAAGGGCTATACTTACTACAAAACTATTCGACGGATGTAAATCAGTCACGTGGATGTTTTTCTATAAAATACGCTAGTGAGCATTTTCTCCTTTTTCCTCTTTTGTAGTTCATGGTTTATATAAAAACATCATGATTGATAATTCTTTGTCTTCTTTTTACACGACTGTATTATGAATGATCCTTGAAGACCTCGTAGGTGGCTGACGGAGATTTAATTGCATGGTAACGGCAGCCCTTACGGTTAGAGTAATATCATAAAGCGGTTGAAGTTTCGTCCGGCTGAATCACCTTCAACGTTAACAAACGCACTTTACTGAGTCCGTAATTCAAAATCAACATATGAACTGCAGTAAAGCATTAACGAGTTTGTTTTAGAAAAGTGTCACTTAAAAAAGACAGATCACTCTATCTTAAAAACTAACTGAGTGGATGACTTATCAGCTTGGNTGCGAGTCGTGTATCATATACAATCTATCATTGATGATTTTTGCCCGTCTCTCTTTCCAGATTGCGTCTTCCCTCTCCCCTATTTTGAAGGTTTTTACTTCATCCTCCCTGTTATTATTAGGTCTGTTCTCCTTCTCCTTTAACATAAGATGTTAAGTCACGACCAGCCGATTTAAGCTAAATAAATATTACAATTATAACAAAACGGATTCCTCAATAATGTTCAAATTATTGCTTTATAGCTTTGGAAAAAAAAAGTTGAGCGCGTAAATAGGTTAGGGTTAGTCTGTTAAACTATTGGAAGACACGGCCGTTTATACTGGGACGCAGTCATTTAGGCATGAACTATGAAATAACCGCGCAGACTTGTCAACCCCGCTTTCAGACGATAACGGTAACGCCGAAAGACTCTAAAGTGACTCTAAAATGCTCGATTAAGACTGGTAAAATGTGCAAGATTTGACCTGGCAGGGCCTTGAAAGAAACCTCCGAGCCAGTGAAGGGCTATACTTACTACAAAACTATTCGACGGATGTAAATCAGTCACGTGGATGTTTTTCTATAAAATACGCTAGTGAGCATTTTCTCCTTTTTCCTCTTTTGTAGTTCATGGTTTATATAAAAACATCATGATTGATAATTCTTTGTCTTCTTTTTACACGACTGTATTATGAATGATCCTTGAAGACCTCGTAGGTGGCTGACGGAGATTTAATTGCATGGTAACGGCAGCCCTTACGGTTAGAGTAATATCATAAAGCGGTTGAAGTTTCGTCCGGCTGAATCACCTTCAACGTTAACAAACGCACTTTACTGAGTCCGTAATTCAAAATCAACATATGAACTGCAGTAAAGCATTAACGAGTTTGTTTTAGAAAAGTGTCACTTAAAAAAGACAGATCACTCTATCTTAAAAACTAACTGAGTGGATGACTTATCAGCTTGGAAATTAAGACGAAAAATTGCTTTTCAGTTCCAGTTCAGAGAGTACTTAAGACAAGTTCTCCAGTGGATTACTATCCTGATACGACGCAAATTGAACTTCAGTGTACCTTTAAGGGACGGCCTCGTCCTCGTGTTGCTTGGTACAATCCAGATAGTAAACTAGTCATCAACGGATCTGAAAGCTTTTATTTCTACGAGCAGCTGTTTGGAGAGGACACCTTATCTTCTGTTCTTCGAAATCCTAATATCCAAGAAAAACACGCAGGGGCTTATAAATGCACAGGGATGAACAACATTACTGGATGGTCGAGTGAAAACACTGGGATAATTGAAATGCGTTATCGTTGTAAGTGATCTGATTACTTTAAATAAAGCCACTAATAAACCGGGGTGAGTAAAACCAGCTATACTGCTGTACCAGTTTAAACTCTTACGTAGACCCCTTTTTCCAATCAGGGCCGGGTTGTTCAAAACCACCTGGTTAGAGAAAAATTTGATTTCAGATGTTAAAGCTTAGAAAGCAAAGTCGGTTTCATTCTTATTTTTTTCTACAATTTGATGAATGGATGCTCTAACAACAAGGGAAACCTTATCTGTGAAAGTGCTTTTAAACAGAAGAAATATCAGCCGTTGGCGCTAATCGGCCCTCGAACAACTGGATCCAGGTTTATAAATGGGTACCAGAAACATAACGTTGGGGTTGTCCTGTTGCAATGAACAGACATCCCATCCAGATGGAATAAAATATTGGGTGCTTCATGTTTTAAAAAACCAGCTCTGACCTCCACTAACACGAGATATCCAGAGTGAAATGATTATAAAGGATAAAATAGTCGGTCACCTGAGGCAGATGTATCCTAGCTACATCAGTGATATACTTGCCAAATACTATTACGTGTTCTTAAGGTACGAGCGAATGTCCGGCCAGATACGAAAAACCACTAAACAAAACTACCCTTAAAAAGTGGACAAAAAATGTTTGGAAACTATTCCCCTAGGAATGCAGTGACACAAAGCCCGAGGAAAGGGAACAAGCAAAAAGTAGAACACAGAATACCTTATTACAAAAAAGACTCCAAAAGAGCAGTAGACCTGCACCGTTCTAAGGGACTGTGCAATAATTACCTGAAGGGGGGGAGGGGGGCATAGGAGAAAATGACAACAAGAGAGAGGGGGGTTGGATATAAAATTTAATACATACAGGGGGGGGCATTACTTTTTCATTCCTTTTTGCAAACTTAAAAAGTAGTGGATTAGTTATTAGATTTCAAATATAAATACTAACATTGGAATAAAACTGACAAATTTATCAACTCTAAAGTGTTCTGATCTATGAACTGTTGTTTTCCGGCCTATCTGTAATGCAGTAGGAAAGGAATCTCTGTTATATATGTTAAAACAGTGCTACTTTATTTATACTAGGATTTAATAAAACAGGAAACTTTAATTAAAAGTTGCAAAAGTAGCACTATAATGTCATGATTCAATGAAAAAGAAAGATGCTAATGGTAACACACATGACATCATAATTTAGCAGAATGAAAAACCCAATTGCTGAAATTTTAATAGCAATACAAATTTAAAGTCTGGTAAATAAAACATGTAAAAGATGTAAAAGCGCTTACCAGCAAGCTGCTGAAAATGTATCTAAAGCAAAAAGGTCTTAAGATAAGTGGAAGCAAGGCTGAATTAATCAATCGAGTTCTCACCAACGCACGCGGGAGCCTTAGTGCCAGAGATGCTGTAGAAGATGAGGAATCTCCCAATTCATGCGAAGACGACTCAAGCTCAGAGTTCAGTGATTCTGATGACTCTGGAAATGAGGGGGGCATATTTCACCCATTTCCCAACCCCCCCTCCGGGTAATTATTGCACAGTCCCTGAACATCTTACTTCACTGATCCCCTTTAATCTGCACCTCCATTGTTTTCAGGGATAGGGGTATTGTTATTTGACAATCCCTACTGTTTTCCCAGCTAATCAAAAACAAACTTTCAAATAGGTGCGGGATCAAAAAAGACAAAATTTAAGAGGATGTAGGTGTAAATACCTAAATACATATATACCGTGACCTAATTATCGCCCAGTAATAAAAGCCTCTTATCTAATAAACGCCCCCTCTACGTTATTAAAATTATATTAGACGCCCATCTCTAATAAACGCCCGCTTTCTCAATTATAAAACTGGAAGTAGCAAATGTTGGTCTTAAAGGAGAGAAAGTAACAAGAGATAAACCTCTTGGAGGAAGGGCGAGACAATAAGAAAATAAACTGACATATGGTGTAGCCTCCAGAAATCGAGCATAGGCCGCCACTTGGGTGGGAGGCGAGAACTGTTACCACTGAGTCACCCTTGCGTTCTTAACCTGTTTAGAAGACACAGTCAGTTAAAAGAGTGCTATATAAAACACCCCACGGTTGCTAAAGGNTTAATAAAATCTGCTTGTTTGAAAGTTGTACATTCTCTTTATGATATTGTGACCCACGGCGTTAAGAGAACAACACATGTTTAATTTGCTACTCCACTAGTCTCACAATCATTTCTTCGCACATGGTAATTACGCCATGTCACGTGACTTACTTAGAGGGGTACCAGCGGGGTTTGCCTCGTACCACACTTTTCCCCCCCTACTTAAGCACTGTCCCAGTGCTGGTCCACTATTTCACAGATCGTTTCCGAAAACAACTTCAATCAAACGCAACAGATCAAGTCTCAAATGTTCGTTCATCAACGTGCCAAGCGTCTACAGTTCTTAGGTAATGAAAGGCATTAACTTATACTTGTCTAGTTGCCTAGACTGTCCTACAATGCTTATCAGTCCCTGAACATTTCAGGTTAATCAGTCACCCAAGTTTCGAATCGACATGGTGGCTTTCGCTGCCTTGACGGTTTCCCACAAACACTTGAATCAATCCCAGGTAAACCTTGTACAGTCGACTCAGCTGTTTGACAGCCGACACCCGCCTGGTTGAGGTCATGTGCAACAGAGGTTGTCAATTTCGTACGAGGCTCAGGTTTCCTCACATCCTCAGGCTTGTCACCGTTATCATCTCCAATGAAATCAGCATTCTGGAGTCTCGTGGAAACATCATCCTTGTCTGCTTCCGTAGATTCCGTTTCGTCGCGCTCAACTCCCTCTCTCGCGTTAACCGGAGCTGACTGTCCCTCGTCGACGCAATTTGAATCCACAACCGATGTCTGTCTCCCCTCTTCTCTTGGGCTCGATAACCGCGTCTGCGTTTTCGGAATCCATCTCTCCAGTGGGGGTCCCAGGTAAGGCTTTAATCTGTCTGAGTGAACGACTTTAGGCTTGGCCTTTCGACTCTTCTGAATAAGGTACACCACATCCGATAGCACCGATATTACAAGATAGGGTCCTTTCCGAGGACAGTCAAGTTTGGCGTTTCTCTCCTTCTTCCTCCGAACGTTATACAGCCAAACAGAATCACCAATAACAAATGGTCTACCGGAAAGCCGTTTGTCGTAGTTCCGCTTCTGCCGTACAGCTGCCTTGTTCAAATGACGCCTGGCCAAATCATGCGCACTAGCCAATCTCTTTCGAACAGCTTGTGCATAGTCCCTCTTGAGCGGTGATGCATCAGGCGGTCTCTCAGTTATGACATCCAGGGGAACCTCCAGTTTCCTACCCAACATCAAGAAGTTAGGTGAAACCCCGGTTGACTCATGAACAGCACCTCGATAGGCCATCATGCAAGTTTGAAGTTGTAGATCCCGGTCTGTCTGGTCTTGCTGGATCTTCTGTCCGTCAGACTGGGATGCAGTGGAGTGGTGCGGGTCTTCTCAATGTCTAACAGCCTGCAGACTTCAGCAAACACCTTTGACTCAAAGTGACAAATGAACTCGCTCACAAGCTTCTCTGCAACAGTGGTGGCCCCCTGGTTTGGTATTGGATAACTCTCAGTCCATTTAGTGAAATAGTCACTAACCACGAGTATAAACTTGTTCTTTCGCGGGGTTTCTGGCAGTGGGCCAAGAATGTCAATCGCGATTCGTTCCATGGGAGCTCCCACCACGTACTGCTTTAACGGAGCACGACGTTTACGTCTCCAGGTTTTCTTAGACCCACAGACATGGCACCTGGCGACCAATCTGTGAACTGCTGAAGTAAGTCCTGGCCGGTAATAACGAGATTGAAGAGCGCCTAGGGTCTTCCGTATACCACGATGACTTGCAGTCGTATGACTATGATGAGCTTCAAGGGCAGCCTGTTGAAGACTCTCGGGAAGAATGACCAGGTCAATAATCTGATCACCTCCGTCACTTTCCCATTTGCGACAAAGTAGACGGTTTCTGAAGAGTAGCCTGTCCCACTGTGACCACAAGGTCTTCACAGCACAACTCTGAGGCGACACATCTTCCCACAATGGTTTTTCTTTGCCTGCTTCCTTCCAACTAATAATAACCTTGAGATCAAAGTCAGCTTCCTGTTGTTCCCTCAAGAAAGTTGAAGTCCAGGTTGGTTCTAACTTGACAGTGGCAAAACGAGCACCAACAGGTTCTTCACAATTCACAGGTTGTTCGTTGTCCTGGCAAGGGACATGCATCACAGTCTGAACACCCACATCAACAAATGACGCTCGATCCTGTGACTTCCAACCCTTACACCACTTACAACGGACATCACAGGGTCTACGGGAAAGTGCATCAGCATTCAGATGTCGCTGTCCTGGTCGATACTGGATCTCGAAGTCCAAAGTACTAAAGTAATCAATCCAACGTGCAAGCTGTCCATCGGGATCTTTGGCCTGGACAACAAAACGCAAAGGGGCATGATCAGTTCGAATGCAGAATCGTGTACCTTGTACCTACAAGGTACCGGAGTTGCTTAACAAACTCAACGATTGCCAAGAGCTCACGACGGGTCACACAATAGTTCCTTTCAGACTTGGACAATGTCCGACTTGCAAACGCAATGGGTTTTTCCACCCCGGCCTGAAACTGTGACAACACTGCCCCAATGCCATGGTCTGACGCATCGGTGTCTAGCACAAACTTTCCCTCCCTAGTAGGCTAGGCTAGGACTACCGGACGTACGTAAACCCTTCAGGCTGTCAAAAGCCAGCTGGCATTGCTCTGTCCAAGCAAATTCCGCCTTGGCTTTCGTTAGCTTGTACAACGGCTTAGCTATGGTCGAGAAATCAGGGATGAATCGGCGGTAATAAGAGGCAAGTGCAAGGAAACTTTTGACCTCCGTGCTGTTTTCTGGGGTGGGCCAAGTGCGAACTTGCTCCACCTTTTCAGGGTCTGCAGCAATGCCTTCGCCCGTGACCACATGTCCGAGGTACGAAACCCGTTTCTGGAAGAGAAAACACTTCTTTGGCTTAAGTTTTAG